TTTTTTCACACGTTGGCAATGAGGCTGACACTAGGTGTCCATGGCATGCCTCTTCTGTTATTTCTGGTGTTTCTTCTTGCTTGACTTCTTCATGTTCATTAACACTTATATACAACCTTAATATCAGGCATTATTAAATATGTAGATATTTTTTATCCTAGGAAAATATAGGTAAAAAATAGAAACAATAATATTAGAATGAAGTAATATTATTGCTTATGCTTATTCAATTTTAATAACTTGGGTGCTCGAAGATTAATGAAAATTGCACTGGAATTTCATATAAGTTCATTGTAGTGCTCTTCTCATCTGTTATTCTAAATGATAATCTCTTAAGGTTCTTATTTGAAACATCAATATAGTCAGAATGAAGACCAATATGATCATTGGAACCTTTTGGATGATGGATGATGAAAATGAATTAGGTGCTGAATAATGATGATCTGTTAAGTCAGGACTATTAATATAGATGGCTCTGAATGGAACAAGGTTTCAATAAGATGAAGTCCAAGTGGTCAGTAAAGAAGTTGGAACATAATTACTTAACAAATAATTTTTTTGATAGTGGCCGTGTGCTGTCACAAACATCATGCCCATTAGAAGCACCATTCCATGTATTGCTTACATAGTTTGCTAATTCAGAGTCTGTAGGAATTTTTAACTTAAAATTTAATCCATCTGCCACTTTAATTTCTACTGTTCTGGTTGCTGATGAATAAGCATAAACAAAAATATCATTACCCGCATTCAAATCCCTGACTTTATCATTCATGCCTTGAACCATATCAAAACTTAATTGCTCAGCAAAATAGATCTTATTTCCTAAGTAGACCTGTGAGCTTCTTAACAATAGATCACTGTCATTATACAACATAAAATATAGATTTTCATAAAAGCCTACCTCTGTTGTTTTCCACACTGCTGGAATACTGACCTCTGAAATATACATTTTAGTGCCTTGAGGACATTCCATGTTTTCATTCAGTTCAATAACAAAATCTGCTGATGATCTGGACTGTGGTAATTTGTAGTTACTATCAACAAAGACCTTTTTATAAGTTAAACTTTTATTCATTATACTTATTGTTTAGATTTTTTATAAAACATAATATAAATGATCGGTATATTAGGCACAGCAGGTAGAGCAGTAGCTACACAACTTGCAAGAGAAGCAGGTAGGGAAGTAGCAGAAAGGGCATTACAAAGGTTAATAGCTAGAGGAGGAGGTGAAGAAGCAATAAGAAGACTATTAACAAGGGAAGGATTAGAGGAAGTGGTGGATAGGGACTTATTAAAACAATTGGGTAGAAGAGGTGCCCAGATGTTAATAGGTAAGATTGGTCAAGAAACCTATGGTGATTATGAAAAAAAGAACAAGAACTGGAATGATAGAATGAATGACTTTACAAGAAATTTAAACGAACACTTTAGGCAACATAGAACACTATATGCTGAAGAAAGGAATGTAGCAAATAAGGAAAAGATAGAAGACCGCAGAGGTTTATGGAATGCCTATTCAACACCAAGTGGGTTTTATAAAACAGGTAAGACTTTATAGGGACAGGTGGCCGTGATGGATCTTTAACAAACGATATTATGGATGATCTATTATTGGTGCCTACCAGAAATGTTCATCACAGTGAGAAATACAAAGATGTAATAAAGGAACTAGAAAAGTCACCAGAAATAACAAGATTGGTAAGTCATAGTCTGGCATCAGCAGTAGTCAATAAAATTAATCAAGAACAACCTAATAGATTTGCTACTACAACATATGCAACACCTACAATAAAAACAAAAAGGAAGGGAAAGCAAGACCCTAAAAGACTGGATTTTAGAAACAAAAACGATATAGTCTCTGCATTGGATGGTTATGCTGTAACTAAAGACAGTGGTGAGTGGAATCCTTTGATGGCACATGGTTTTTGCAGTGTCCTTTTGTATGGCAGATGGGGTACCAGAGAAGGTTTTTGCAGTGTCCTTTTGTAAGAAGATGAACTTATATATGTGGCCACCCCCCTGCAAAAAACCAAAAGCCAACTAACAAAAAGATACAGACCCCAGGGACCAAACCAAAAACCAAAAACCAAAAAACCCAAAAAATCAGATTTTTTTGGTTTTTTGGTTTTTGGTTTTTTCAAAAAACCAAAAACCAAAACCCAAATTTTGGTTTTTGGTTTTCCTTGTTGGGTCTGATTTTTTTGTTTTTTTGGTTTTTGGTTTTGGGTCTGGCCTGTTGGGTCTGTTTTTTTTTGGGTCTTTTTTTGTTTTTGGTTTTCTGAGAAACCAAAAACCAAAACTCGATTTTTGTTTTTTGATTCAATTGTTTTGTTTTTAACATTTGTTGTGTTTCCTTTTTTGCGCCTGAAATTTTTGATCAAAAAATGTTTCCCAAAAAAATAGACTGAAAATGAGCATTTTATATGGGAAATACCAGTGTTTTTGTTAAAAGGTTGGTTCTGGGGGGGGGCGTGACCATATATATATATAATGTAAGAATGGTCGCATTTCACGTGGTTGTCTTCGATCGAGATGTAGATGGGTGGCCTTTTGATCTCCTTGGTTCCAGAATCTAACTTCTCACTATTTTTCAACTTCATTCGACTTCCTCTATTTCCGCCATTTCCTCAAGTCTGAATCAGCCGGAGGACAGAAGGACAGCAGTTGCTCGTGTTTTCTCAGTCCGCCTTTCCTTTCTCTTATGCCGACCACGCCAAACACGTGTTCAGCCTTGGACGGGTGCAGGCGCGTGGTATCATGACCATGGTGAAGGTGAAGCGCAACGCGCTGAGATGGAGCCAGGACGCCCAAGGGCTCATTTTAGGCCTCAAAGGCCTATCTAGAGTCCCAGCGCAGGTCGCAGATGTCGCAGGTCGATTCGATAGGGATCACATATGTATTTAGCTGGTCCTCATGGTCCTCAGCGTGAGTTCCGTGTTGGTCAGTCATGGAGTTGCGAGACCTCTTGGCCATTCTGCCCGCAGGACACAAAGCTCATGCGACTCTTAGCGCGCACTGGGCCGACATCTGATGTCAGTGCCTACGACCAGTCTTACCCTCCCAGTCGCGACCAAAGGAACGGGAGGATTGTACTTGATCCATGCAGTTGGAGTCGTGTTGCTTGTTGCATCATCGGTTATGGTGAGAATGGGAGTCCGTGTATTCTTGCCAAGGAAACCTGAAGAATGATGCTGAGAAGCAGACACTTGGTGGAAGGTGATATGACGTGACTCTATGCAACCTGTGATCGGGAATTCCCCTGCAGGTATACGGAGCGAGACCCGTGCGCCAGCAATTTGATTTGCTGGCGCAGAACTGGAAACTGAGCCACCCCCTTCAGAGCAATAGTGACACTTTTGGCCCATTGATGGATCAGTTGATGCGAATTTTGCCGATTTTGTCGATGTGCCGAAAGGTTGGCGGTTATCTTGCACCTCACCGAACAAGGTTCATCTCATAGAAAAAGATTGAAGCCGTGGTAACAGGGTTCCATTCGGCGAGTTCATCAGATACCCATGGAAGTGGAACACGGCCCTGGAAAGACAATTTTCCTTTACAAACAGGGGATGGTTCCGTGATTGTTTCGATTTGTATCAGGGAGGGTATATAGGACGTTTTTTTCTTTAAACATAACTTTTGAGAAACCCGCGAGATTGTTCCCCACGAGCAAGGAAGTACATTCTCAACATCATTGTGGTGATCACTGTGCTTGGTGTGCTCATGGCAATGTCCAAGAGCCTCCTGGATCAAACCCGAGAGAATGAAGAGGATTGATCATGGGTGTTGGATCGTATTGGGGGAATTCCGACATCAGAGGGGAAAAGGGTCTAATCGGATATCAACTTGCCCAGAGTTTTGCTGCTTGTCCTTCATAATGCAGCATTGCCAATGTTAGGGGTTTTCTTCATGTTTGTTTGCTATCCCACGCACCGTCACGCACCGTCACGCACCGTCACCCTTGTGTGGGCGACCCAGAACCCACTTTCGCCTAGTGAAGCGGAAGAGATTCTACGGCTGTGGGCGTCCAATGTGTGAGGTCCAGAAATCTGACTATGGAAGGTTTGCTCTTCCTCAGGTTGCCTCTTCCATATGGAGGCTGTGGGCCGCTGGGACCATGGACATCCCTACAAGTTTTCCTATGCCCTCAGCTTGACTATGATTGTTTTCATCCTGTCGCTCGGCGGGGGGCAGACACTGGGATACGCTGCTTGAACTCCGGAATGGGAGAGCTTTCCTATGCAGAAATTGCCTCAGTCCCACCTCAATGCCCATCATGCAGATGAATTTGTTCAAAGTTTCTTATTGAAACACATCCTCCACCGCAAAACACATCCTCGGCGCCAATGCCTGGACAATGGTCACCAAGGAAGATGCTCCTGGCGCCGATGCACAGCTGCATGAAAAAGAAGGAGAAGAAGGAGTCCAAAGAGGCGGAGCTGCGGAGCTTAGTGTCTCCGGTGTTGTTTTTTTTCTTTCTCCGATTGCGTAGCGAAGGGTTCTCGTTCTCAGTTGGGGGTGTGGGGTAGGATGTGTTCGCCGTTTTGGGTTTGCGCCGCGAGAATTCTGTCGTTCTTTTCATCACCTGCACATTTTTTTTTGCGCTGTCGTGAGTGCATTAAGTCAGTGCTGCACTCGAATTCTCCTTTTCAAAAGATGCAATGGGAAAGTGGAACCTCAAAAAGAATCTGTGGACTGAATTGGCCGATTTGCCCTTGTGCTGTTTGGGGCGCAAAGCTGCCCAAGCATCCGAACAGGCGGTGGTCGATGATGCAGAAGTAGTGCCCAGTGGCATCTTGCATTGGCTGAGCGAAGGTAGGCATGTTTGGCAACCGTTGCCAAACATATCAGTATTTTTCACTGGGTCAGTGGCATGTATACTAATGGAGATGCTTGGGTGCCCAGCTCGTATGGAAACAGCACAGTGGTCGGTTGCTCTCATATTCCTTTGTTTATCTTTTTGTTATATACCCTTTGATTTTGCTTGATCAAATTTTGATTCTGCCAGTTGTATCCACAGACGGGTGTGTATGGAGCTTTTGACGTGTGACCTGTAGGCTGGTAAGTACAGGCAACAGCGTCACCATCAAAAGTGCCACAGGGCCACACTCCCTTCACGATTGGCTTTGAGGCATGATGAGCTGTGTGATGCCTTGGGTGTTGCCCCTGGGCTGGAGAACAGTTGGCGGCGATAGGAGTAAACCAAACAAGGGCAAGCAAGAAATGGATACAAATGGATCATTTGGGGCAGAGGAGGGGTCAAAAAAAGGCCAGGACTGACTGGTGCGATTCATGTTTGATCATGTGTGCGTGGCCAGCGTGACAGGAGCTTCTTACCTGGCTCATCCTTGCTCCAAGGCTTGTGACCTTCACCATCTTTGAGATGCTCATGACAACCTTGAGCTGCTTGGGCTTGCTGTATGGTGCACCCACCACCATCTTCGTGGTCTTCAAGAGTTCCAAAGCGGTGGCTCGGCAAGGTGAGGTGGGTGGCCCTCCGCCCGTATTAAATAGTCGGAAGAAGCATAGATCAAGGAATGCAGATTTGGTGGGGTGTGCATGGCCTAACTATGGCCCTCTCCTTCAAAAATCGAAGCTCTGATCCCCAATTACAGCGGATTGAGGTCTTCATGGCCCTCATGTCGGTGGTGATCTTGGGCCGTCGCCTGAACGTGGCGCAGTGGTGCTCCATGTTGGTGATCTCCTTAGCACTGCTTTTGTCGACAGTGGCCGAGGGCAAGGGAGGCAAGAAGGGCATCTCGTCAAGCATGACCGCTACTCCGCTGACTTCGGTGGGAAGAAGGTTGAAAACCAGATCATTTGGCGGAGCTTGTGTGGGTGTCCTCCAAACATGACCGTCAGGGACTCAACATGTGGGATCAGCACAACAGGAGAGCGATGATGGATCCTTTTGGAACAGGAGAGAGCTTGAGGTGGGAGGTCACAACTCACAGCTTTTTTCCGGGTGAGTGTTCTATTGATGCAGGCTAGGTGTGAAACTGATGTTGGCTTCGGGTCAAACTCTCCTAATTACTCTCCTAATTCATCCTACTTTGATGTGCGACTCCCAGTTCAAAATGAAGGCTTGCCGCAGGGAACTGAAAAGAGAACAAGAAAAGCAGACCATTGAGGTAGAGCGTGGTGGCTGTCCTTAGTGTTTCAAACACTCACTTAGCATCATCAGGCACCACAGCGCATTTTGAGAGTGTTTCCTTTTCCACACGCCTTTTCTCCATGGGCTATGAACAACGGAGGCGTATGCACCACAAGATTAGATTCGAGGGCAACGGTTTTCAGTGCTTATCAGGCACAACGATTGGATTCTCAAATTGGGTCATTAGTTGGAGACGCTCTTAGGCCATCGCTACTAGGTTGGAGGCCATCGCTAGTAGGTCACATGTTTATTCAACGGTTCCCAGGCCCTTCCGCAGCCGAGGTAAAGGCCCACACGAGATGAATCTGGAAGGTCGGACCGAGAGTCGCCAACCCGCCGAGCCGCCGGATGGATCTCGGTGTGAGGGGTTTTTGGTGACCAGAAACACGGTAGCCATCGGTGGCCCCAACGAAGCAACTCTGTTCGAAATGGTGACCCATATTATATACCAGTATCCATTATATACCCATATGAGGAATGGGCTAGGACGGATTCGATTCTGTCCATGACTCATATAACATTGTTCCGGACTTGGGGGCTTTATCCAAGCAACCTCGAATGATGTCCATCAAAACTTTTATTCTGGTCTGGTCTATATCTATTCTAGTCTATATCTATCAAGCGTGGTTTACCCCACTTTGAGAGGTGCTGGGCGGAAGAAAGTTTGCGAAGCACGCCAGGGCCTGTGCTTCTGCTCCTCTCTGAGCTTTGCCACGCCATCATGCTGATTTTTCAGGAGCTCAGCCGCTCAGCCCGAGGGTCCAAGGACCATGATTTTGAAGTAGTCGTGACAGACACACATCTCGTTTCGTCAAGCTGCCCCCCGACGTCAATAATCTTAACATGGTCAAACCATATAATATGTTGAACCTTGCTCCAATCCAACCACAGTAGAACCGCAATAGTCAGAAGCTGCGGTTTTGGAGCTGCCCATGGTGAGAAGTTTGCCGTTTGCAGGAGATCGCGGTGAGAAGCTATTGGCCCAATCCCATCGCCCTACTCAGTTGGTCGGCCTCCTTCGGAGTCCTCCTCACGGCGTTGTCCATGTGACCTCCTCGGGCGAGAGCCACGAGAGCTTGGGAGTGTGATGCGATTTTTTTTGTTCAATGCTTACCTAGCCTGCTAAGCCATTGTCACTGACGCACATTTTGTCCAAGACGGTTCTGACTACAGGATCTACTTTCATCACCCAGTCCATCATCGCTAGGTTGATAGGATCAGTCTGACATCAGTCTGACGTGTGAAATTGGTCGCGACTTGGCCCTCGATCCAGGTACAAAGCCAGGGACGTTTTTGTGGATCTCCCGGACGGGGGCCGAAGGCCCTTCTGCGATCCCTATGACGTCTTCTACATGATGTCAACTAGCCCAGCCTTGGCGCTTTGTTTGCTGAGCCTTGGCCGGTCGGCGGATGCCGGCGGTTAAGAGAGAGAGAGAGAGAGACAGAGAGAGCGCCTCCGACAGGATGCTCCCACCGTCCCGATGGGGTCACTGCCAAATAGCCCGTTTCACTATCACCCATTTCGACCCGCAGTGTTTTGACCCGCAGTGTCTCTTTGGTGTGTGTCCTTTAGAATATTTTAGAATCCTAGAAGGTCTGCAGTCCTTCGAAGCCGTGTATGAGAGCCGTGCTGCAGCCAGCCAGTTGTCGCCCTGGTTGACTTGCATGATGGTCTCATGGTGCAAAGCCGCCCAGGATTAACATCACCTCGCATTTGATGTCCGACGTGTCTCACATCATCATTCTGAAACATATCTCTGCCCTGGCTCGTACACTTTGCGACACCCTGAAGATGATTGTGGCTCGGTTATTCCATCTGGCTTGAGGGTTGTGCTGACAAGTGAGACCCAAGCGTGCGGGCGACATGCAAGGGAATGATGCTTGAATACCTTGAAGTATGCTTGAGTGATCCTGAAGGTTTTTGACTTCTTGTTGGGTCACAGGTCTGGCTTGACGGATGGGGCAAATCATGCAGGGACTCCGTTTCTTTCTATATACTGTAATATCGGAACCTGCCAAGGTCATGTGGCTTCTCGCGAAAGCCTTTTGGTTCCTGGCAACTTTGGATTGGTTTCAGTGCAGGGCTTTTCGCTCTTGTCACGGAAGATTGCCTCAGCAACCTTGAGTTCAATTAGTTTTTGCTTAGGAGGGCTGGATCCTCCTACATGACCTGATTTTGGGGTCGTGAAAGGCGATTCTCCTCCCTCCAATTTGTCTTTTTGCTGCTGCTGCTACCCACCTTTCGTTGCTTGCCAACCTTTCGTCCACCCTCCCTTTTCCCAAGTTTTGAATTTGTGTGCGACCCCCAAGGCAAGCTTGTTTTAATCGTTTGTAGTCTTTTCCTGCAACACTTCTCATCATTGTATAGACTGGTTGCACAAACTAGCCGTGGAGTATTTTTCTTCACCTGTTACCATACATTTGGGTACCCTTTGGGCACGCAGTGCCGCAGTGACATTGCCACCATGGTCACTCCGATTGGGGCATCTCCTTCGGGTTCTCTGCGCGAAGAAACATGCCATCATGGCCTCCACTAAATGAATCTGTAAAAACATGTTTAAGATGTATATAATGATGTACACTTTAATATATATATATAATATAGAGTATTGATGATGACGGTTGGTATGCCACGCTGCTTTTTGGCGGTGATATGGGCAGCTTTCACTGGCATCACCGCAGTGCAGTTTGGACGGGCTGTGACACTTTCCCCTTCTCTGTGAAGAAGCCCTCTCAGTGCCGACTTGGATTCCTCAATCAACCTGCGGCACCGCCAAGCCTGGGGCGCGGTTAGGCTATCTTGCCACCTTTGGCGGAGGCCTGGCATCCAGGCCCACAATGGAGTTTATGTCATCTCTTTTTGATGTACCCTCTGCTCAACGGTTTGAGAGTCCTCGTATCAAGCAAGGGAAATGTCTTTTTGAGAAATAGGTGATGGAGATCCATTAATGATCAAGATGAGGTAGGCCATCAAACATAGCTTCTCGTAGACTTGTATTAGAATCATGTGTACTACTGGGTCTACTGGATGAAACTGAGGAAAGCGATGGAAAAACGGGTCAGAAAGACACTGGGAAGATATGAAGCTGTTGGAGAAATTGGAAGGAACACCCCAGCCAACCTACTGATGACTAAAACGGTTGGGATGGTTTGAGAACATGAATGGGGGCAGGCTGGAATCAATGAGAATGATTCACCTGACATTTTGAAATCTTGAAACGGCTTGATCAATACACACGCTGATGAAAACACTGGCAAGGAGCTGACAAATTTGGCGACGAGGATGCTGTTCAATACTAATGGGGATTGTGAGCACTCAGCCAGTTGAGGGGGGCCCTACTCAGGCTCCGTGTGATGTAGGGGTCATTTATTGGTGTATGTGGGGTGCTATAAGTCCAGAATCTGCTTTAAGGTTTGACATCGCTTGAGTTCCTCGAGGGCCAAGCTGGTTGGTTCGTGAGAGGGTTTGGACCTCAATCCTTCGGAAATCCGTCTTTGCGAAGGCTTTTGGGGCTCGTGGCTGATGATCCCGGCCATCCTGGCGGTGGTCTATGGACCCTTGGAGTCCGAAAAGGGGTGCTTGGCGGATTGGACCTCAGGAGTGCTGGGTGGACTTGGCACACACATCATTGAACGTCCTTGAGAGGAACTTCGCAATCACACCACTAGGCGCAGAAATGTGTCGTGATCTAATTTACATTGAACCGAAGTGAGCCGTTTTGCATGCTGTCGGTGGACAAAAACTATGGCACATTCATCCACATTCAATTTCATTATATATACATATAATATATATATATATATATTATACACCTATATATTATACACCGTGCCATGCCGTGCCCAATTAGTTTGTGTTTTGAACCAACGGATGATTTCGTCGAGCAATTCTTTGTTGCGTTTCACCCACACTTTCGAAGAGGTGGTGGAGCTGGAGTTTCCTCCTGGTTTTGCCAAACCAAGGCATGTTAATGTTCAAGAATGGGGTGTTCTTGCCCATCGTCTATGAGCCTGATGAGACCGGTGTGCGGAGATGGCAGGAAAGGAAGGCTGACGTCCTTGAGGATGAGGATGAAATTGAGGACAGCAGGTCGTAAGCGCCGGATGGACATCTTAGCCGCCCGAGACCTGCAGGATTTCTATGCTGGATGTTGCTACTCCGGATTTCTCAAGTTTTAATCCTGTACATCCACCGGTTTTGACTCGCGGGGCCGCACTCTGTGGCTGGTGCGTATCAAGCGGCTTGATGTTTCTAGGAGATTGCCGCCAACTTGGACGATCCCTTCTATATGGCAGCCTTTCGATCGAAGAAGCTCAAGCGTCGGAACCGGCGGATGATGCAGGCCATCAAAGTCGCTCGGGCTAGAGGATGGGGGCGGTGGGGATGCGAACGGAGGCCGACCAAGGTGCCTAAGGCAAGCGTGACCGGTATTGGGCTGGTATTGAAACCCTTAGATGGCTTGACACCTAGAATCTTAGAAAGTCGACCTTTCGCAGCGCCGGCAGCTCCTTTGTTCCTTGATGCAGCTTGCCGGCGGTATATGTTCATGGCGCACCCATAGGCACCACATGTTTTGCACGTTTTGATGCACCAAGCAATGTGAAAAAGGGAACGCGAGGGTGTAATATAGTCACAAAAGTGGTGCAGGATTTCTTCCGTCGACGGTAGTTATATCTATATAGTTGCTAGTTGCATCCGATTTCATAGAATTAATTACCAACCTGGGCGTTCTCTCTTGGTTTCTCCTATGTTTTGCGCTGTTGCTTCTGACTCGTCGCCGAGGCGAACAAGATGATCGAAAAACTGAAAGGTGGATCTCCGAAAAATGAAGGAGGAAACTAGCTACAGGCCAGAGAGACAAGTGTAAGAAAGGAAAGCCGTCATACGAGGCTACGGTGAAAGGAGGTCATCTACATATGGGATGTCCGGTGTCGCGCGAATGGGTTTACAGTCTTGCGAAGTAGTGGAAACTCTTGGCATACCCCTTCAGAGGGATCCACCAACGGATGAGCCACTCTGCGGGGTGAAAGCGGCGAAAGCGGAAGAAGTCAAGGGAAGGGCCTCCTGTAGCAATGACGTTATAACTGACGTTATAGTTGGGGACTGTCATAACCATTCTGACTCTTCTGTGCTCCACTCAGAAAGAACGGGGGGAAACTTGTGTAGGTGAACATCGGAGGTCATCGATTAAAGATGTGTGATTCATTGATGTCCACTGAAGATTGACACATTGATGTCCACTTTGCTGCTTGACTTGGATGGAACTGAAAGAACCCTCTGCCACTGCCTCATGCGGTGCTGGGGCGGTGCCTGGAGTCGGAGACTGAGAGGCGTCCCGGCCCGACAGCGACCGTTGGTCCGTTTGGCCCCTCTGCGTCCTTTAGATGGAGAGGTGCCAGGAGGTGAACATATGAACATCGCACTTCTAAAGAAGTCTTCAATGGACTCAGTGCTTGGATGAACCATGGACCCGATGTTGCAGAAGATCTGGCCGCTTGGGTCGGATGGATCTTGTTTCAGTTCCATGGGGGCACAGTTGCCACCGATACGCGACGGGCGCTGCTCGCAGTCGCAACCAGCGGAGAAATGCCGCGCACGACGTTGGCATCGGAATGGCGCGAGCGAAGTCGGTGGATTGGGTCTTCAGTTGCTCAAGGCTAGACTAGTTGCTTCACAATGGACCTCGGATCTTCCGGTGGGGTTGCGCATGGTTGCGCAGCAGGACACACTTCCCTGATTTTTGATGAGACGTTCAGTGACGTTCACCGACACAGTGACACAAGCAAAATTGAAGTCTCAAGAAGGTGCTGAGGAGCCCCACTCTTTTTTTCATTGTTTATCGTGCTACGTCGTGTTTGACCTCTACTTCCTGGTTTATGGTCGAGCCGAGCCTTTCGAAAAACGCTCGCTCGACCTCCAGGCATGGAGCCCGGATGGATGTGGACGGGTGGATGATTGGTGGAAAGTGGAAAGATTCCTTTTGGATCCTTTTGTTGAGCATTTCGGATCATTTTGGTACATTTATGCGATGTTGCTGTGGCTCTTCTAAGAGTCATGAAGTCATGGATCATAGCTCAGTCCGCGTGCGGTCTTGTAGAGATCGCCCCGAGTGCGTTCATTTCCCTTTGTGTTCCAGGAGGCAGTCCAGCAGGTGTGCGGGACTCGGAGCCAGAGCCGGGAAGCTTCTTCACCGTGGGGGTGGATACCGACCGGAGGCGGTTGCCATTGGGCCTGGCGTTCGATTCTCGGACGCATTCGTTCAGGTGGACAGGGAGTGGAGGGCCAGAATTTCTAGAGGATTTGCAGTATATACTCAGTGCATCTCAGTGCCCAATGCGAGCCTTGAATGGCCATGTGGTTGGTTTGAACCTTTATGGAAGTGCCTCCCAACTGCATGCAGACCAGCCTTCAGGCGTGTGGAAACGCCCTTGCTGAGGGCTTGTCGCAGTACCACTAATAGTCAGTAAAAGCGGTAAAATAATATCCATGATTATCCACTATTTTAAAGGAATGCTTTTGCTAACAATCAGCACCCATTTGCCCCTGTTATGGCATATATATATATTTATACCCAACCCTTGCTCTTCAATATCCCATGAACTACCCAATGATCGGCCCCAAGTTCGAAGCTGCGCCTGTGCTGCTGAGGACTTCATGGACATCAATGTGGCTCGGCCATCCTTGGGTGCTGTCACTGACAGGGAGAGGGGCTCACATTGACAGGAATGACTTGGAATGACAATTATCTAACCGTTGAGGGCGCCTTAATTTAATGCTAGAGACGCTGCGTCTGAACATGGAACGCGTGCCAGGTCTGCTTGGTGGCCAAAGTTGCCTCTCCTTCTCTGATCCATTCATGGAATCAGAAATGTGGCCCTGCCTGTGTTATGGTACCTGCGATTTTCTTTTCTTGATGGTCACTCAATTGTGTTGACATTCTTTGTGCATTTTGCGTGCTTGCAAGCCGCAGACCCCGGTCCACTACAATGAACCTGCCACCATCAATGTTCCCAGAATCAGTGAAGATCTTTTTCTCAGGACTTTGATTTTTTGATGATTTTTGATTGTTCCAGGATTGTGTCATGCGATGAACGCCAGAGCCAGACCCAGAGCCATCAGATGCCGCCAGGCGCTCCCCATGAAGTGGTGAGACCACGGGACCGCCTGGTGAAGGCTGAGAGTTTGCGCAAGGAGGACTGAGGACTGGTAGTAGGGTTTTTCTTTTGAATAGGATGGTCTTAGTGATGGTCTTATATACTCCCTCTCCTATTGGCGTTGACATTGCAATATAACAAGGTAGAGCAATATGTGAAATATTTACTTGTTGAACCATCGTGTGTGAAACGTTGTCATTTCAATATCATAATTAAAGAATATTGTTGAGTTAAATGAATGTCAACAGCTGAAGCTGATCTCAAACATCAAACGTCATTGTCTTAAGGGCACTGCGTAGCCTTATGGATGATGGGCAAACCATTCAGCCTTGTTGCATGTTTTGCCAGGTTAATGGCCGCTGTGCCGAGGATGCTGAGAGGCTGGCCAAAGAGCTGGCTGAGGGACTGGGGCACCAGGCGCACGCGTTGCCGGGGCCTCACATGGTGGAAGGGCGATGGGCTGTCGCTGTCGCGAAACTCTGCTGTTTTGGACATGATATCACCTTCACACACGACGCCACACATATCATAAAGTTGCACCGCTTACTGTTTTTTGGGGGTAACTAGTGTAGCGTCGGCACTGGCAAGCATCCTCACCAACCAGCGTTTGTTGGTAGCTACAACCAGCATCCAATCCAGTGGATGCAGCACCCCAAAACAGCGCTCATGACAACGCTTCACAGAATCCCAGGTTGGAGTTTCAGCATCCAGTCGCCAAAAGCTCAGCTGGGATCGACACTTCAGCTGGGACGCATCCGTAACGGAAAACTCTCGGACCGTGACCTTGGAACCGTTGACAGGTTGATGTGGGGACCTGCGCAAGAGTTCGGCGATTCGGCGCCGCCCAACGGCCATTCCCTTTTTTAAAATATGAACTATATACTAGGGAGGTCAACCTACCAGGGTTTAGGGCTTCGGTTGTGACCCACAGCCAGACATGCATTTTACAGGAACAAGAACGATCTGCAAGGGTGTAGAAATCAGCTGAAGCAAAGCTTAGCAGGCTTCTTATTCTCAGATTTTCACTTCAATTTCGGCCAAGACCCGATTGATCGGTCCTCCCAACCCGCGTTGGGTCGCAAGCAAGTGTGAGGTTTCGACGGTAAAGATTGTGAAGAATGGTCAAGCCCTTGGTCTCAGCCTTCACTACGCCTTGTCAGAGAACAAGATAGGCTGGAGTCGACAGTGCTTCGACGATCTACTTAGACCGCGGATTTGGACTTGTTGACCATCAAGTGGCATGGGGGTGATAGTGATTGATCATTGTGACTTTCCGTTTGACCTGGGGCTTGGCTTCGCCGCACCGAGATGTGGACAGCACCGTTCAGGGGGCCTTTGTGTCAAGAGCGTGAACGAAGGATTGGTGCAGGCGCGTGTGCAGCCATCCGTGGGTTGTTGCTTATGCTGCTGACACGGGCTCCTGGGGCGAGCGCACACACACAAACACGCATGCAAACACACACAAATCACATGCACATATACATATATGCATTATAGTTTTATGCGCATGTGTACATACAGTCGAATGTGAGCCGCCTAATTCCCACTAAGTTTTGCGCGCCCTTCTTTCGTGGTGGCCGAGTAAGGAAAGTTGGAGTGGCAAAAGGATCCTCATTCGCCGTGCTATCCAGAATGATTTGGTGAAATAAGTGAGGTCAATGGCTCCCAAACGAGACCGACCAATTGGAACACTCGTTTGTGCCATGATAGTCACATTCTAGTGGTGAGCAGTGGGGACCATGCAACCACCCGATAGCTTTTTAAACCCTTCAGGAAAACCACTTGAAGGGTCTTCACAGGGTTGTAGGTAGAGGCTGTAGAGGCCTCATGCCGAGGAAAGCATGCATTGCAAATCGAAAGCCACCACAATATTTTCTGTGTGACAGGTCGTTCCAGCATCTTGAGTTTTCTGGACCAATGGGGTGTGGCTCAAATCTCCAGTGAGCACAGCGCCAACGGTTTTCTGACATCCGTAGACCACATTAAAGTCAGACTGAAGTTCGAGACTGCGATATCGAATTAAACGCTGTCACAGTGCTCACAACGGCCCACAGCTGCTTTTTTAACCATCGTGAGAGAGAGAGAGAGAGAGAGATAGAGAGAGAGAGAGAGAGAGAATGGAGGCGAGGGGTTTGGCCCGCCCGAGATCCACATTGATTGACTGCGGTGGACACGTCGTCAGCCGAGGCCCAAGGACTCGGCATCACAGCCGGGCAGCGAGTGATTGCCATGGACGGCGAAGAAATGTGGCTTGGCGGCGGGTAGGAGACATGGGGTCTTGAGTTGGTGCTGGTATATCTTTGCTCTCTGCAAGTGCATCTCACAAAGATCGACCACGTGGAACCTGTGCACATTTCACGTGTTTCAGAGCTTTTGAAAAATTGTTGGTGAAGCTTGACGTTTTTCTGTTTTTGGTCGAGACAGGTTATGGCTTGTGACTGATGGATATTTTTGATTGTTTTTGGGTGGGGTCGTAGCCCAAGGAGGTCCCTGACAAGCCAGCCTTGTTCCAAGAGCATTTGTATATATATATAGTTATTTAGGAATAGGTTGATGAGGGCTGATGCATCAATATCAGGATAGAACACTCCAGAGGGCACAGTGACTGCACCGACCCTCAAACTCAAACAACTGGTTTGCGCCAAAGTGATCATCACATCTAATACCCTAATAATCAGGCACTGCCTTTTCTCATTTTTCGTCAATGACTAGGTCGGTGGAGCAGATGTTGCAGAAGCTGAGGGAAGCCAAGGCCTGTCCGAGTGAGGGTTTGGCGAAGTGCCGGTGCTAAGACGCCAAGGAGGACATGGGAGGACGGAAGGCGAAGAAAGGGGCGACTCTTCCAGATCTTCCAGTTTCACGACTTCGCTTTTGGGGTTGAACATGATCCTGCTGAACTTGGTTTTGCTTTCGGCATCTTTCGGCCCTTGGGGAGGTTAGTGAGGTCTGAGTTTAGGGGAAGGCCTCACGCCGCTTGACAGGTTGTGTGCTTGTTCGAAAGGGCGGTATGCCAGTCAGTGTTACAGTCGCCTTGTTACTAGTCGCCTTGGTCGCCCTTGGAGCCCCTCGTCTTCAGCAACCTCGCAATGGCCAGGAATTTGCTCTCACCGTGCTCTCGTGGGAGGAAGAAAGGGGCTGTGGATGCCATGGCCTGGGAAACAGTTTTATGAGATTTTATGAGAACTGACATCGGCATTGGTGTCTTGTTTGTTGCTTACTCGATTCCCGGTGTCCGACGAAGGTTCGTGTTGGTCTTTCAGGCTCCGTTTGGCCGTTTGGAGTCTTCAGTGGGCTCGAGCGGCCGTGCAGTTGGAAAACGAACACGCATCAATGACACCATGCCAGGTGGCTTTGGAGAGTCACAACTTGTGGGTTCGGGGATATGCTAAGCGGAAGCATGCGGACACCATGAAAGCACTGAAGTGGCTGAAGCGGTAATTCAGCCAAATGTATAGACTGTAATTTGCTGCATTTTTTGACAGTGGCTTCTTACGTCCGCAGGACACCCGCTCTTCCCACCAAGAATGAGGATGGCTGAGTGAAAATCGGTCACTTGCAGATTTGCCGCGATCCATACAATCAACTTGCCCTTTGAGGACAACAAGGGAAAGCGGATAGACGGATAGACATGATAGACAGATAGACCCAATCCGTTGATTTGGCTTGCTTTCTGAGCTGGTCCACATGATTGCACTTGCCAATGTTTTTGCAAGATTTGTGACCATTCAGAACCGTTGGGTGCATTGTGTTGATACTTGATACGTTTGAGTTCTTGATGTTGAAATGAAAGCAGCAGCAAGCTGCTTTATGAAGAGAAGCCCAATACGGCACATGTTTAATTCACCTGGAACAGACTCATTAGGAATTATATAGAATATAGACGGGTTTGGTAACTATATTTTGTGGCTTCAACTGTCCGACGAACCATATTGAAGTCTGACTGACTTCTTCAGATGTCATTTTCGCATTTCTGGCATGTCCTCGACGAGGGCCATTGCTGTGTGAGGTGCATGCTCCAGGTTGACAGATGCGGTGACTAGCCTCAAAGATCCTCAAAGGCTACCGATTGCGAGCAAGAGGTTCTCGCGCCTCCCGGGTGCCCAGTTTCACGAAAGAACGGAGAACAGGATGACAACAGCAGCACCGTTACGCTGACAGGTATATAGATGCATGCAACGTGGTTCCTGGGAAGAGGAATCGCACATGTAAAAGGTATGGGCAAGGGCACTTGCAAGGTTGTCTGTTGCTTAACGTTGACATACCTTGAGACTACCAGCTTTGACATAACCCCCCACGCGGAGTTTCATGAATCGTCAATCGAATCTGGGAAGTAACTACTGAGAGAAGATGGTTGGATGATGAACCTGAAAGACTTCCCGGAATTCTCTGTGCGGACGGTGGATGACGGCCGCCCTGAAAGGGCTGGCCCGGCTTGCGCGAAATAGGTGTGCACAAGGCGAGAAAGTCTCAGCGAATTGGCCTGAATTTTGAATGTGTGAGAGCGAGCTGTCTTGGATGGAAAGCACGTCGTGATTCTTGGGGGTTGATTCCACTGTTTGAGTTCAATCCTGGCGATGCACGTCTTTGCCATTAAAGGTAGCTCCAAAACTCGACCGCGCGTGGCCAGCCATGGCCATGTTGAGTGCGAAGACTCAGTGGATTCAAGTTGATGAGATCCATCCAGATCCCCCAAGCTGCCCAAGCTGGTGCTTTGTGTTGGTGAAGTGTTTGCCGAAAGTTAACCACGGAGAGCAAGAACAAAAGACATGAGCGAACGACCACCCAAGACACCGGCAGAATGATGCAGAATGCAGAACGATGCAGAACGTATAGTTGAATAGAGGGTTCTATTTCTTTTGAGGACCCAGTCCCTGTCTTTGGCATGATGAAGTCTGTTTTACTGGAGGCATCAGGCCATGATTCGCGCACAGGGGTGCTTTCATGTGCTTTCAATTCCTGTTGCCAGACAGGTGGATTTCTGGAGGTTTTGGGTAGATTCGAGGATTTTTTTCCGGTTTGAGCCGAGCAGTGGGTCAGCGACATCTCCAGAGCAGCGGGGTTTTCCTTTCAGGTTGGATGAATCGACAGGGAGGGGAGACCTCACACTCAACCTCCATGTGCATCCGATGACGGCTTGCCGGAGCAACAGTACAAGGGTGGCAGCGACCCAACAAGAGACGGGGGGAGAAGGCAGGCAGCGTGTTGAGTCTCTTCGAGTCGTTGCAAAGGCCCTGGTCTCAGCATGTTTCGGCTCACAAACTCCCCAAGATCAGCAGGTGGGACGTGCGCAGCAATGGCCAAGACGGTGCGCATTCCCATGAGCATGAGTGATAGCTCTGGCACGCAGCATATGATCGAAGTGCCCCAGCCAGTGACCTTACAGGGGATTAAGGAGGCTGCCGGGAAGAAGTTTAAGGACTTCCGGCCCAAGAGGCTTGACCTTCATAGATGCTTTCATTTATAATGGGCAGTTCAATAGAAGCTTTGGCACTCGCAGGGGCTCAATAGACTGAGGCCAAAGCTTTACCTGTTTGTTTCCTCCCTTCCCTTTCGAGGAAGGGACTGGCCTATCATAGCTTTACCGGTGAAGAGCTCACGGAAGACTTGGTGACTTCCCTCTTCAGTGGCGTGGGTACCGCTGGGGTGGTCTTGTGCATGACTCTCGGCCCTTGAATCTCCATGAGCCGCCATGTATGCAAAAGCTGTAATAAGCAACAGGTGCTGGTTTCATAGCCCTTGCCAGCCCTTGCCTTAAGAGCCCCGCACAAACGGAAAGTCAAGAGAACCTACGAGCTTTTTCAACTCAGACTCCATGTTCTGGTCCCCGTCGAAGCCAGTGTTTGAAATCCTTGGATGTTTGGAGCTACCTACCATAGGAAGACCTGGAAGGGTGCAGCGAAGTTGAAAGCCAGCGCTGCAGCCGGATACAGATCTCCATTGCCATGTGAAGGCGTAACCCGAGAACGAGTGGGGCGAGTTGATGCGAAGAGCTGCAGTTTATTGGGATGTCAATTGTTATATATACGTGGGTCGTGAGTCGGGGTGTGTCAGTTCAAGTTTAGTGGATCAATTACAGTAAATCCTCCAAAAAACTCTCCAGGACCGCCTGCACATAAACATTCCAAACCCGCAGAAGAAACTAGTCACACAATGTCACACACCTGTTCCTTTGAAGCCGTTTGACCAATGACATTACGAGAATTAGAAAGATCGACGAGAATTCAATCTGTAAACACAATAATGTTACGCAAAGTGGGTTTAAGCCAAGTGCTGCACGTGCAAAGTGATCGAATGCCTTCACAGTGGCTTCGGTACAGTGTCAAGTGCGACTGGAGCACATTGCATCCGTTTTCCGACAAATGACTCGGAGCTTCTTTGGACTGAATCCAACATCCCTGACCCCCTGCACTACACACGCTGCACTTGCCTCACACAAATCTGGAAGCGGATCATGCACCCAGATCAAGATGATCAAGAGACATGGTCTTGAGGGGCGGATTCCACTTCCAGACGGCCGTTGTCAGATTGATTGTCCTAAGACTTGCCGCGGTAGTAAAGCAGTACTCAAATAAATACCAACCACACTAGCAAAGAAGAGGAGCAATGGGTTCTTGCGCCAGGTGCCAGTCAGCTACAGAGAGCGGCGATAATGCTCCAAGAATGCGAGGTTTTGCTGGTTTTGGTGGGTGCTGGAATGGGCGTGGACTCAGGCTTGAGCACTTTTCGAGCCAAGGAGTCCTCCACAAGACCTATTTCTAGTGGAATGCTCAAATCAAAAGCCAAAGGACAACATATATAGGACAACACATGTTAGATAATCGGGTTGTTGGAATGACTGTGAATCTTGGGGCAGGTCCAGTACCAGTTTCAAAACGTATCAGTCCAACCCTAGCTCCTTCCCACATGTCTTTTTCTTCCGCATCTGAGACACGACTGCAGGATGGCAGCTACACCAAGGAGGAGTACATGGACCTGGCAAGGCATCAGAGCTTCCGGGAGGACATCGAGAAAGCGTGGCGTTGGCATGGAGCCATGTTGGAGACCTTCCGCCAGACCCCGCCTCATGCAGGCGCGCCATCATTGGAAGCCTTCGGGAAGTCACCGGTACGCCGATAGCTGGTTGTTCCAGGTCCAAAGGTGGGCTGCAAAGCCACAGAGTGAGAGGCATGGATGGGGAGGGAGTTTGATGAGCAGTGTAAGCTGAAAGGCGTGAACAATCATTCTCTTGGAGTTGTGCCGCTCATCAAACTCCCTCTTGAACAATCATTCTTTTTGAGCAATCATTCTTCAGGTTATGGAAAGCTCTTGGAGTTGTGCCGCCGCGCAGACTTCTTCGTTTGCACCTCCAACATCGATGGAGCGTTCCTACGCGCCGGCTTTCCACCGGAACGGCTTTTTGAGGCACATGGCTCGGTCCACATGTGGCAGTGCTGCGATCCCAAGTGCAATCGGGCGCACCCACCCTGGCCGGCTCAGGCGAAAGAATGCCAGCAGAGAGATATTGACTGTAGAGCGCTGTAGAGATTTGATGATATTTGATTTCATTTTTTCGGGGGAGAGTGGAGTGGGGGCCGGGTTGGAAGCAGACTCAGCCGACCATAGTAAATGTTTGGGTCTGAAGTCTGAAGTTGCAGCTTTTGTTGATTTCGGCCAAACTACTCGACAGTCCCAGGTAGATACCCTGGTTGAAGTTTTCAGACATGATATTGGAGTTTTAGTGAGCTTTCAGTTTTCAGTGTTTCTCTTTTATCGGCGCCTGAAGCGGCATCCCCGTGGTGCGGGCCTGCTTGAGATAAATTCAAATCCTAGATGGTCCTCGTGCAGGTGTTGAAACTGGTGCAATGTCAATGTCGGTGTGTTCTTTTCTGTTCTGGGCACAGCTCGCACAGTCGTCTGCTGTACGCTCGCACAGGCGACCATGGAGTTGCCCCAGTGTCGCCATTGTGAGGACTATGCTCGGCCCAATGTGGCCTTCTTTGATGATGACCTAGGGAGCAACGCCAGGACCTTCAATCCCAAGTACATCGAACCACAACGTGACCCCTGGATGTGCTTAGCCTGCCAAGATGCTCTAAATCTGATGGTCGGTTGAAATGGGGACATTCCTTTTTTTCTGCATCTTGCCGCCGAGGTAGCCGCAGGTAGCATGCAGAATCACAGCCAACAGACAGACAGACAGACAGCCAGCCAGCCAGCCAGGCAGCCAGGCAGGCAGGCAGACAGACAGAGAGAGAGAGAGGCCACGAGCATTGACGCATTGACTAGTCCAAGTGATATTCGTGAACCAAACTCTAGGCACGGGGTTGGCAAATGAGACAGATCCGCAGAAGTCAGTATTCCTGCAAAGAAGTGTATAATATGTGTAGAACTGAGAGCTTCAATGCCTTGGAACTTCCAAATCCATCCCAGTGCAGATCTGAACCTGCGCAAAGGGGCACGCAATCACGTTGCACGGTGCAAAACAAGTACAGTCGGAAAAGGTAAAGCTACAAACAGGATCAAACAGGAAAGCGCAGAAGCCGGACCCGAGGTCCCTCGTCCCTCCTGATCTGAGGTTTGTTTTGCCGATCAGTTACGAAAGCCAGCCTTCGTAGAAGGCGCCAGCTGAGTTGTGCTTGGCGAACGAAGTGGGTAGTTAGGGGGTCTGGGGGGTGGCCCGCAAAAGGTACACGTAAACTCGGCACATGCTGGGGGAGGAGGGTGGACGGATGGAAGGATTCCTGACGTTGTGTTGGAGGTGATTTTTGAGGGGTGGTTCATTTGCATCATCTGAATGGTAAGGTGTAGTTGGCACCTTGCCAGGTATAGATACCCAGGGTAGCTATAGTGCAGTTACCAGGTATAGTACTTCAAGTTCCCTTTCCATCAACCGCTCGATAACCTTTACACACGCACAGCAATCCGCAGCTTTGAAGTCTCACGCGCGCGATACCTGGGAACAGAATTGTAGCTACCCTGGGTCCGTAAAAATGCTAAGTTGCTATACCTCTTGCACACCTATATAAGTTCAAAACACGAATGAGACTTCAAAGCTGTGGGTTGCTGTGCGTGTGTAAAGGTTATCAAGCGGTTGACGGAAAGGGAACTTGAAGTACTATACCTGGTAACTGAATTGTAGTTACCCTGGGTATCTATACCTGGCAAGGCGCCAGCTGAGTAAGAAGGGGGGTTCGGGGGGGGGGTGGCCTGAGAAAGCACACTCGAAAGTAAAAACGCAGGCTTTCGTTTTGCAGCTTCTCAGGTATGTTTTGCAGCCCACAAGTCCTCAGCAAAACCCAGTCATAGGACGTTGATATTTGGCAAGCTGGTCAGGACTGATGTTAATCAGGACTTTTCTCATTTCGAGGATCTGCCCCAAAGGACAAAATAGGATAACGCTTCGCTGTTTGGTATTCTCAAGATGTTGTTGAGTCAGCCTGGTTTGAGGGAGTCGAATCAGTTGGGTGGTTTTCGTCTCGCTTGGCTTTGTTTGGGCATAGTGTGGGAAGCATTCGCATTTTTTCATTGTTACTTACTCATAGGCGTAGACGATGCAGGGCCGCTGCAGAACTTGAGGCATCCACACCTGAGTTCTAAAAGTCGACTTTCGAAGAAGTTGTCAGCACTGTCAGCACCAACCAACTTTCCCTCTTCTGAGGCTCGGTTTCATCGATGGCTCGCAAGCTTGGCCGGGCGTCAAGTGTGCGTTTTGGAAATCGGTTGTGGCTCCAGCGAACACAGCCTTCGGATGCGCTGGACGGAGAACTCCTGGTGCTGCATGTCAGGGGAATGGAAGATCCCTCGCCTTGCTTGCCCGTTGGTGCGCTTGGACCCTGGAGAAGCTGAAGAAGTGGAGGAAGGACACTTGGGAAACTTGGTGCATTTGCTGCTGGGAGCGCGAGATGCCTTGGAGCAGCTGTCTGTGGAGTTGGGAGGGGCGACCCGCGCGGATGCGGTGGAATGAAGGAGTGTGATTCGTGCGAAGTTGGTGTGAAGGAGCGGATGTAAGGGCCACCCATGAGCAGGTGGGATACTACAAGAGCATGACGAACCGGCAAACGGTACAAGGTTCTTCAGGAGAAGCTCCCCATTTGCCCCATGCCCATGAACCGCGAGTACCATCGATTCCGTTGCTGGGTGCAACTCGGGAGCCGGTCCTGTGCAACTGGGTTTTTAGCTCCGTCCATGAACGACGTTGAACAGCGCCTTCAGAGGAAAGCTGCTGACTCGGCTGCGCTTGATTGGGTGAACAAGTCCTCCTCAAGCTGGCAGCATTGAATCAATGCACGCAAAAAGGATGATCTCCACCTAAGCTTGAGACGTGCAGGTGGCATGCTCCTTCACCTTGAGAACTACGACATGACAAGATTCATATCATTAAAATTGTTATCTCAGCCTAGCTGACACCTATGACCTAGCTGACCCAGCTACCCAGCCCCAACGATCTTTTTTGTGAGAGGGGATGTGTGGATTTTCGCTGATCCAATTCTTCTCACCCGAGAATTCCGAATCCACTCCCTTTAGATCCCTTTAGGCCATTTCAGGCCTCTGAAGGCATAAAACATCACAATAGACTCATTTGTTTGACCTGTTGTTTGGTGACTTTGTCAGGCAGGCACTCCGGGAGGCCTGTTTGTTTCCCCGTCTTCGATCGCAACCAGTGAGACCGTCGACCGTGCAATGCGGATCGGGCGTTTGAGGTGAGGGTCGTTTATCTGCACGTGAAGGCTGGGACTCGGAAAACCACTGGTCTGAATTTTTTGAAAGACTAGAGTCTAGATGTGACTAGCTTTAAGATGCTTGCAAGATAGAGGGCTGTGTTGATTGCATGCAGGGGTATCGGGGGTATATAGTTATCACAACCCACAGCATCCCACAGCCACGCAATAAAGGCATTCAACGCTTGGAGGCCGTTCTTGTGACCATTTCAGAGGATTCGCATTCAGAACCAACAGAGTCTGTCTTGTTTGAACAATCTTGCGGGAAGGCTCTTTGGGGATGCAGCGCCTTGGCATCGAGTCATGGGAGGGGGAAGTGCGAGGTGGTGCCCTAGCTACCCGTGGCCGGCAACCTGGCCAGTTGCAATCAGCGAAGCGACCGTTCTGAGGCAAAAGATGCTGCGCCAGCGGGAGCTGGTGCTGAAACGACAAACCGAAGCTGTGAAGAGCTTCGGCGTCAGGGCACCGAGTAGTTGGTTGGGGTGGTTCATTCAATCTAGAATGGTCCTGATATAGAGAGAGGGATGCAGTCAGTAGAGAAAAGGATACTGTAGACATTTTTTTAATGTTGGCATGCAGAGGTTTCATTTGGTGGTGTGCAAAAAAACAAACCTCTCTCTCTATATAAATATGGTAGTAAAAAATATATATATATATATACGGCAATATAATTACCACATGTGACACATGTGTATATATATATGACAAGATCAGATCAGATTTGTACTATATACCCAAGCTTCTGCCACTACGCCCATTATCTAATAGCAAGTGCAGGGCAGGGTGCCAAACCTTTTGACTACGACCATTGGACCCTTGATGACCTTTGGAGATATTCCTTTCAGGCGTTCCTTAAATTAAAAGTTCATGCCAAGTTTTGCGGTTTGCCGATTATATACCGTCTTTTCCCTCCTGCATCTCTATTATTTTTGAAGAAGTCCATGATTGCCGCGGGAATGGGCAGAACATGCCGTGAAACATGGCTCCTGAATCGTTTGACCAGGTGGTTGCACAGCAGCATGCTCCCTCGGTGGACACCCCGCGACAGGCCAGTGAAAACGAGGGGTTCTGGTTTAGTGACCACTTACTGTGTCGACGGCTTCGGAACCGAAGCTCCTGGTTGCTGTCCGATTTGTTTCTCCTCGGATTCACTGATAGAACTTATGTATGACTCTTTGCCTTGTCCCTAGCCTTCATTTTGAGTATGTAGAGTTTCGTGTGAGAGCACACATCTTGCGCTCTTGCATTATTTCATCATGACCAGGTCAACCATCCCTCCCGACTCTGAGGATGTTCGATGCCTTGTCTATAAGGATTCGACTCCCGAGCCTGCCGTGTAGCCTCAAGCCGCCAGATCAAGCATCTCCAACGTGTCTCGAACAATGGTGCCTTGGCAATGCTGGATAGGATGCAAGTGCCGACCCGCTATGATGGATGCATGAGGGAAGGTATGGAAAGCCGTGACGGAGTCTGACAGAGTTCTTCTACACTCCAACATGCATGTTGGTAATATGTTTGTAATGTATAGCGTCCTTGCTCCTAGTAGTAAGGTCAGGAGCCCCTAGTAGCGTTCTTGCTCCTAGTAGCGATGCCAGGAGCCCCTATATACGCACAATCAACCACCACGCCTCGATCTTGTCTACAAGGTATCACAGGGACGTTTCTCTAGACGCCAGCCGAAGCTCAAAAGGCAGCCTCGCAACTTTCTCTCAGGCGGCCATCCGCTCTCTTTTGGCATTCCAGCTCACCGTGGCCGCTGCACAGCAGGGATCCATGACGAACACCATGTGCTCCATGACCATGAACATGGTTGCCTGGTATTTGATTAGCCGCGTTTGCACTCCCCAACCCAACGGATTCGCAGCAACCTTTTGAAGGGAAAGGCCTTGCTAGAACATTCTATATAGAACATCTTGAACCTTAATAAGCTTCACCTTTGGCTGACCTGAAATGAGTTCCAACCGGACTTGTGTACTGGGATGATGATGGTCCACCCCCCTGGACAGTCGCCGGACTTGCATCACCAAAACCACCCAAAACCAGCAATACGTGCAGCCGGCTCCGGCGTCAGGTGGAAGTCACTGTCAGATCTCCCATAGGGCCGGAAGATTCTTCACTCCGCCACCCTCCGAATTCGTAGTGAAAAACAATGAAAAACATCGTACCTCCAAGTCAGAGCCAAATCCGATCGTTTGCGCATGTCCATCAGCTGGTTTTTCCATTCTGCCAGAGCTGAGATTCCCTTCGTGTGCAAGCCGAGCAGCCAGGGTGTGGGCGTCAATGCAGCAGTGCCCTGGAGTGCAGCTCTCTCCTTGAGAGGAATGAATACCAAGAAGCATAACTCATAGCCCAGCGGCCTAGCAACATTGTCAGCAGACTCGAAACATCTTCCTTACTGGTGCAGAACCCAGACTCCGGCACCATGCCTCCAAGGAGTGCAAGGCAAACCCCTCGGCCTGCTGCGGACCCGCAGTGGCCAAGTGCAGCCCCACCGAGCCTTGAAGCTGTCGTCGGCAGATGTGTCGCGGGTCAGTCATGGAAAGGTGGTTGATTCAATGGTTCAACTGTTTGTTTTTTAAGGGTGGGGTCGAATTGTGAATTGTTTTTCATGGTCGGTTCATTCGATTTTCCTTAACATCTTTTGCATCGAGTTCCCGCATGAAGCAATTGAAGGTCCGTGGCCTGAATTTTCACGGGATTAAGAGTGTGGTTGGACTTGGTCTGGTCCTGACCGGCACAAGCTCAGACAACGGAGCTGAAAATCGTTAAATTACATCGCATAGTTTGCCGGTTTGCTCAAACCCTGAATGATTGATCACGCAAAATCCAGAAGATCCAAAGCGACACGTTCTTCGAAGCCCAGTGCACCCATGGCAATTTGGGCGTCTGTATTTGATTTGTTGTATTCTTTGGTCACATGAGCGCAATCCCAAGGATCCCTTCAGCGTCTTCAATCCTTGTCCTGCTGCCTGGTTCGCATCATTGGGTGTCAAGCTGCTGCCCCAGCAGCCGGCCCGACCAGTTGGAGTGTCACGTTTTTTCTTTCTTTTTTTTTCCATGGCGTTAACTCTTTATGAAGGAGTCACATTCACATGCCTCACATTTGATGGTGATCACCCTTTGCAATGCCTCTGGTTGTGCTCTCACAGTGCGTCATCCAATGTTAAGATGTTCTCCCGCTTCAGACTTTGGTGCAGCCATATTTTGAGTTGGCTTGCCCAAACTGACGCAGATGGTGGCCAATTGAAGGAAAGCAATGGAAGGCAGGTGTCTGAGGACTTTTGATGGGTTTGGGTTTCTGAACTGAACTGGATGATGGTGTTGAGGCCTCCATGGGGCAAAACGTCCAGTGTGTGGGCTCCATGATGACGTCTATGGAGAAAGTGGGTGCTCCTGGGCAGAAGGGATCAGGAGCGCCGTGCCGGGCTGCTGCTGTTCACCTCCAAGCTTGCTCAGAGAGATGACATGCAACTCCAGTAGTCCGAAGGTGTTGTTGGTAGTGCCATCTTGTTTTTCGCATCCAGAACGCTCAGATGACTAAAGTTAAAGAAGAGCAGGCATGTCAAATCATCTACTCGTAGAATCTCGACGCTGCGCCATTCAGGCAAGATTTAGGATTTGTTGGATGTTGAGGGAGTGAAGACCCAGATGCCGGCGATAAAGCTTGATGTGGGGGCGCATGTTTTCTTTCTCAGAGCTGAGGTTTGCATGTGCCCAAATGGCATCACCTGCTCCGGGTCCGGTTCGCAAGCGCAATGCGCGGGCAACACCATGAGCAAACCCGGTGCGAGCTTCAATCCCTTCAGCCGCCTCTACGATCCGGAGCAGGGGGCGTGTGGGTGAGTTCTCTTGCTACTAGTAGCGATGGCCTTGTTACTAACAGGTTCTTTGCTCCTAGTAGTAAGGCCAGGAGCTACTATAGTAACTAGTAGCTTCTTGCTCCTAGTAGCGATGCCCTTTGTTACCAGTAGCTTCTTGTTACTAGTAGCAATGGCCTCCACCCTAAGAGCCCTGGCCTCCACCTAATAGCTTCTTGCCACTAGTATCACTAGTAGTACGGCTAGGAGCTACTAGCCCTTTGTGACTAGTTACCAGTAGTTTCTTGCTACCGGTTCAGGAACCATCAATGATTCGGGTCTATCAAGATGCCAAATGTAGCCTTTACCGACGCAGGATCCCCATGCATCTTACACGCCACCAAGCATCACTAACCCTCCAGGAGGTCGATGAGCCAGCCGTGCCCGAGCTGAATGTGGTGGGCTGGGTGAACTTGGCCGCCTACGTCACGGGCTTCAGCGTGTGCGTCTTCCTGGCAGTGCGCGGGCTCCGGCGCCTGGCACGTGGGCCTCAAGCAGGCACCATGGAGCTGCTGGCGCAGGAGGACGCCGAGGCCGTGCTGGATTGATGCTTCATACGATTGAGCCGGGAGGAGCGAGAGGCTGGATTCTGGATGCCTGGAGCTGGAAAGAGAAATGCAGGTTTGGCGACCTACTCAAAATCCAGAGGTGACTTGAGGTGTAGGAGGGGCGACTGGCTCCGTCTAGGGTGCTGTGTAAAGTCGCTGATTTTGTCTCAGGTGAAGGTGCCAGATCCAGGTGTCCACGAAACGTGCCAGTCTTGGCAGAATTCAAGGCGCTTGTCATCACTTGGTCTTGGCGTTGTGGTGTCAATTTTTGGACACTGAATGTATATCCAGAGACCAGAGATTAGCCAGAGATGTGTGAGACTCGTGCAATGACATGAAGAACTAAGCCTCTAGTCCCAGCGGCCCAGGGAAAAGCAGCGGCGGCAGCCCCCCCAAAATGGTGAATGCAGATGCCATGTTCATCCATGTTCATGCATGTTTGCCTGGAATAACTGGAAGGTTAGGCAGAAACCCGGACATTTTTCAGTGAACTTTTCTTGTTTGGGGGGTGTTGGGTAAAATGTAAGTCTTGAGCACACATCGGTCAATTACGGAGTGACACCTCAAGCGAGAAATCTGGGTTCTTACTTCATGGTGACACCCTAGTGCTGTTCCCACTCGAAATTGCAGAAATTGCAATTGGGCGCTGGGCTGGGAAAACCTGTCGTGAACTTTAGAGGTGACCTTGTACCTTTGTCTTGACAAACCTATGCCTATAAAGATCCTTCAGCCGTCAATGGGGTTTGAAGGCGCCAAGGGCGCAGGCCCCTGGTCCAGTGATGACCCAATCGCCGCCCAGAGGGCCTGAAACGGCCTGGCGGGCAGCAGGCTCCACAAGCAGGAGACCTGCCGTTGGTGAGAGCGACCAGTTGGAGTTCATAGTGCATGTTTTGGGGGAATACGACCTCTTGAGCTCATCAAAAGATTATATAATGTAATAATTATATGATATGAGGATATGCGAATGCCAAAAATAAGTGTTTTTCACATTGTCCTCACCAACATGGCAAAACGCACCGGAGCAGAATACTTCTATCATGTCAAATGTCCTTCTCAAGGAAGAGGATCAGCAGGTTAATGGCATCAGCAGACAACAGATATGCTCTGAAGATTTGCGAGGCTGCAGAAAAAGGGGTGCGGTGCAAGTGTGTTTTGTTTTGTGCGAGGGATTTTGCCAAGCGCATGCAAATCAGACCCAGGTCAAGCATCCTATCCTTTCATTCGCCAATCGAGGGGTTGGACAGAACCCATTGAATTTATTGGTTTCCTTTTCTCGGCCTGAGAAATAGCTCAGATTGGCTGTCAAGTTGGAGGAAAGGCATGAAGAAGGCGGTCAAAGTTGGAGGAAATTGCTCACGTGACGCCTCACGACGGTTCCGCCATGGACATATTAGTGGCAACATCACAAGGACCGGTGGTAGTTATACAGTATATGTTTCGGTAGATCCACATTGCATAATTGTTTCTCGATTGGAGGCCATCGCTAGCAGGTTGGAGGCCATGGCAATCAAAGAATCAAAGATTATTATTTTTTGGTTGAGTTTTGGTCTCGCCAAAGTTGTAATTTGTGATGTGGTGAGGCCTAAGGTGGTACTTCGTCACCAATTCATTGGGTTTGAGCGACAACATGCGGCACCCCCACCAGAAACGAACATCTTTGCTCTCCCTTGAGCCCTCTGTCCTTCTCCATAAACACAGGGGCAGGGAATCGGGCGGACCGCTGGAAAACGCCATGCTGCTCACATTTGCTGGACATATGTATCTTGCATGTTCCAGGTACCAGGTGACCTGGTTGCGGATCTGGGTGACCACCTTCGGGTTCCTCAAACCCATTAGTAGCGAGCCACGCATTTTTCTCCCAACAAAGCTGGTGGAGAGAATTTCTGACCCGTTCGGAAAAAAGAAACCACACTTTAGTAGAGTCACAACTACCAGTCCTCCTTGTGGGACACACAGGAGCTCACATTTTAAGTGCTGGGCTGAGTGGGGAGTTGAACAGTCACAGCAATTTGCCCAGTCACCACTGGTGCCACTGGAGCTGCTGGAGATTGGACCTCTCAGACCTATCAGTCTATGCAAACTGTCCGTGATGCTTGCTCAGCAATGACGCACAACCATTTGTATTTATTATGACCCATGGAAAAGCCAAACATGAAGCTGTGTGCGCTCGCCAGGCTTTCGATTGGGTTCGAGCTCCCGAGGTCTGCGATTTTGGGCAGTGGGTGTGGATGGAGCCCCTAGCCACAACGGGGTTGGATTCAGAAATTCAGGACTAGCAAATGAGCTTGTGGGAGTGTTTCAGGTAGCCCAATGCCCAAGTGATTGTTTCAAGACCAGGGCTCAACCTACTGGAACTCAACCCACCCAACCTACTGGAACTTGGAGCTAACGTGCAGGTTTCTCACCTCAAGGCAACCTGTTGGCATTGTTTACCGCTGTGGCTTTTGTTGAAACGCCGGCCTCAGTCCCAGTACATGATTTCCAGGTTGCATCAGCTGTGTTCATTGTGCATGCAACCCATCATCCTCTCGGCAAGAGCCGTTGTGGAATACGGCTCTTCAGTGGCCCTTGCAATTTTTGATAATGGAAGCCCTCCTCCTCATGACCAGTCCCAAATATCTGATGGAACATATTTTTAAAATAGCCCATTTAATCTCATGTACAGATGTTCAGTGGATGGTTCTGACACCGGGTGGATTGTCCCATAGTTATGAGATGTTATGAGTCAATGAGATGCTATGAGACTCGAGGAAATAGGTGGACTGGCAAAGAATCTCCGCATTAAGTCCGCGCAGATGTCAATGTAATTCCCCAAGCATCCGCAGAAGGTGCGGAGAGAAGATGCAGCCGGGCGGCTCACGGGTTCTTTTGAACATAGAGTGGCTCCGAATCAGTAGAGGCCCCCGGCCCATCGAGGGTTGTCAAGAAAGGGTAGTGCCAATCCCACGGGCTGTGGAACCATTTGAAAGAGTCATTGAGCATGTGTAAACATTCGCGGGCAATGTATACTACGTTATACGGTTTTTAAACATGGCTGGCTGCACATTACCACTGGCATGTCCAGGCAATGTTTTGCATGTCCTTCACGTGCTTACAACATCTTACAACCATGGCCTAGGGAACTGGATGTCAAGCAAGTGATCATTGAAGAACAAGAAGCTACTGGCAAGGGCGCTACTAGGGGCGATCCTGGCCTTAATACTAGGACCAACAAGGAGCAACTAGGAGCAAGGGCATCACTACTAGTAACAAAGGGAAGTTACTACTAGTAGCATTCTCACTAGTAGGAACAAGAAGCCCTTACTATGTTTTGACGTTTGGCCTTTTACCATCTTTTACCTTACCATGTTTTTCTGTTGGCGGCCGTGGGTTTGCTGAGGCCGGGAAGGACCTGGAGCCGGCCGCAGGGTGTCCCAGGGTGTCGCAGGGTGTCCCGTGCGACAAGAGGAGACCTTGGAGACCACCTTGTTTTGCACGTGTGGGGATACGCCTGCCAAGTCGCAGCCATCACTAGACTCACTAGACACCACTGTGACATGATATGTTTATATAATGTTACGTAGGTATGTGAGGTTAGTCCGTCAGTCTTGTGCGACTGTTTCGTCTCAGATCCAACGCAAGGTTTCGGGAATCAATAAGAGTTGTGCGTTGGACCTTGGAGTGGGTGGAGAAGCCATGCCTGCAGAACCTCATGAACAAACGTTAGGAGCGCTAGGAGCTCCTAGTGGGACTAGCCAAGGATCTGTGGACACGGCTGCACTGCTGGACTCCAAGCGAGAGTATAATATGGAGCACCCAGCTTCCTCAAGATCAAGAATAGGTCGGTGCTGCGAGAAGCCATCGCTGTAAAGTATCCATCCAGATCCATCCAGCATTGATCATTTGAGGCACCTCCGAATCCCCGCCAAATCCATCCAAATCCCATAAGATTCACTTTGCACGCGCCGCCGTGTCGGGGCCTAGCGGGACACATTCCCAAATTCTCGGTGCACAGCTGTTGCTCAGGTGGGGTTGTGTGCCCCGCGGAGGCTCATTGAAGAGGCAAAATCTCGGGAGTACTTTGGAACACTTATCCAGAGAAACAAGAGATCAGAAAAAGAACCGGGAGACAAACAGAATTCCAGCAAATCATCAAGCATGGACTATACTAATTATACTATACTATATACATTGCTACATGTGACTGGGATTCTCCCAGATCACAAAGGTAGCTTCTCAGCCCTCTACCAACCAACCTACGGGGATCTACCTAGATCAACAGCTCCTATCCAAAGTGGTCCTCCACCCAGTTCAGCGGGCCACCGCTTCTTTTCCTAGCCTTGGTCCTGCATCCGGTGTCGGCCTTGAGCCAAACCATCATTGTGGTTTGCGGTCATCATCTCATGGTTTCATTCGAAGGTGGCTTCACTGGCTTGTCGATTCGATCGATTCACACTGGTTGTGTTTTCTGTTCGAATGAAATCGGCTGCTTTGGAAATGATTCCACCCATCGAGTGCTGAAGGTTCTGTTCGGATTATTCTTCAATTCGTTGGCGTCATCATAAATCCGGAACTTTCCTAGTGACAACACTTTTCTCATGAAAGTCGAATCCATTGGCTTGGTCAAACAGTCGGCTATCATGATTGCCGTAGAGATCCATCTGCAATCGGTTGATTCACTGGATTGTTGCTTAATCAACATGACCTCTATCGTTGTTCGCCATTCTTGGCAATTTGGTGTAGCCATCTTGTTCACCAAGTCATACAGACTTTTACAGTCTGTCACCAGCAAGGCTTTCGGTTCGGCTTTCAAAGATTCCTCTGGCTTTTGCCAACGGAAACGGCTGTCCTTTATAATTGCCCACATGCATCTCAACCATGTCAACTTATCGAGTGATGATGACATTGCATATGCCTCTGCGCTTAAAGTAGAACGAACAACTCTACTTATTTGCTTCGAATGCCATGCCATAGGTGATATATCAGAGATTTTATTTTCACTTAGTTCTTTGGTGCATGCTGCAATGAAGACACCCTGCTGTGCCTTAAGCTGGGACTCCGAAGCAAAGCTTGCGTCACCAAAACTGGCAAATGTTACCTTTTCCATCGGGATAGGCTG